ACACCTCTTTCTCCTTGTACATTCGGCCCATATACATTAATACAACCAAATTCCATGTTATCCCCAACTACTCTACCCTTGAGAGCTATAAATCTTCTATGAATTGATATACTGCTTACATCCAACGACTCTCTGTCCCACAAAGAAATCAGCCCACCCGACGCTCCCTCCGCAGGAGCAAAAGCAATTTCCCTATCAGTTTTCCCTTTTAATCTTCTTCGGAGATGCACACTCAATTCAGATGCCTTAGTCTCCTGAAGCAACACGACCATTACCTTACTGGATTCTATAACTCTCTGAACATGACTAAGTTTTTCAGGTCTACCTAATCCACGAACATTCCAAGACAAAATAGATAGTCTATCATTCATAAGGATAAAACATCTTACCTCAAACGTACAACCCTTACACAATAGAAACGCCACGCCACTAACCGGATTGCACTATTTCTTCCAATCTTTGCAACGCCAATCTTCTGTGCCCGAAAAACTCCACCCCCAAAGCATCTGCAACCCCGAGAGTCTCCTCCGCTTCATTTGCTTCGCTTTGATTTTCTAGAGCAATGACCCCGCCTGGGCCTCTATTCTGAGCACGACTGCTTTTAACATTTGCCCTACCTCCCTGACCTTTTGCACCAAGATTTTTCCTTTTCCCATTATTTAATCTCGACGACACTTTGAGACTCACCCGACTCGCCCCCATCAAACATAATCTTGCACGCCTATCAGTACCCGCAATCAGAGGGAGATTTGATCTCTTTCGAGAATTTCCAGAACTGGTTTCTTTCCTTGTAGCCGAAAGGAGCTGATCAGAAGCTTGGATAGAAATCACCTCGTCGATAGGCACATCACAAAGCCTAGAGCAATTTGATATGGAATTGGACTCCAAAGCAAAATCCAGATCCCTATTGATTTCAATTAGCCTGGCACTAACATCTAACCCGGCCTGCTCAACTGGCCCAACAAAAGAATTGATAGGAACATTAAACCAACCTACACCAGAATCACTCCTACCCACCTCGATATCATCATCATGCACCCACCCACCTTCCAAAAGACCAGTAGCATTATCACGCCTCTGACACCCCAACTCCACCATCTCCTTCTCAAAACTTACCCCCTTAAAAGCATCACCTGCAGTACCCACAACCTCGAAATTTGGAGCACTTGTTCCATCTTTGGAATCCACACACCAAGAGCCACCCCCCACCATGGCACCATCAATGAACGACCGAGTCTCTTTCTGCACTTTAGTTTGCACTTTAATGGAGAACTTCCGACCATTAAAAATAATAGATAATTTCTCTGGTATTGAAACTTCGGACTGGACTTCCAACAACATTCTAGCAACATCGAATCGATCACGGTTGGAAGTCTCTTTATCTATCTTAATAACCCCACCCCACAAACTCCCAATATCGAAGAAAAACTTATCACTCCAAATCGCAATAGGAACATCTTTCAGAGAGACCCAAACTTTGAACTTAAACCTATTTTCATAGCCTTCCATCAATTCCAACTCATCAAACCAAACACGAATCCACTCATCTCTTCTTAACCAACAAGACTGTCGATCTTTAACATTCTTGAACTGGATAATCATCCATAAGTCGTGCCAAATTCTTACCTTCACATCCAAGCCTTCTGCTCTGAAAGCTGCTTGAATAATATTGTCATTATACATATTCTTTATTTTGCCGACCAAACTGCTTGAACTCCATCCTAACTCCTTCTTAGGGATATGTATAAACCTGCTGCCCTCCGCAGGGTTAGCTGCTGATCTTACTACGCTGTCATCTACAACCGAAACATGAACCACATCATCAACACCGACATGGTTTCCCAAACCCTGGCCAACAGTCTTCAACACCAGCGACCCACCTCCTTCCAAAGCATTTTCAACTACCTCTTTAAACGACCTTGAGTCTCTAAAAGCTGGCTTCCAATCCTTTTTAAAACTTCTTTCCTTAGCCACCTTTTTGCTTAGGCTATCAGACTTTTTATCATGGAACACTCTAATCTTGAAACCATCCATCAGCATTCCTAACCGCCAAATTTGCTTCAGATCTATGTCTGAACCTTACAAACGCAAAAGTGGAACCCAACGATTTTCTCTTTAAACTCTTATACGCAATGTAAGCGTCCAAAACAACACCATAGTCCTGAAAAGCTTTCTTAAGAGAAGAGACTTGAATCTCTTGCTAACGAAATTGACAAACACCGTGAAACCTAACATACTGTTTAAATCCATCCCACTGATCGGTTATTACAATGGATAGATTTTAGTAACTTTTATACTTGAAAATAATTCAAACATTTTAATTTACAAGGATAGATTTTGATCATTCTGGTCCATAAGAGCAATTTAATAATCGACTCATAAGAGAATTTCGAACATTTTTTACACTCGAGGGCATTTTAGACATTTTATAAATTATAGTTGAGAGGCCCAATTTATAATATTTTTGTCTTATAATTTTTTCATCAAGTTTTGAGGCCAACTTTAGACATTTTTTACACTCGAGGGCATTTTAGACATTTTCGCAATTGAATTCAACGAACAATTTATTTAAATTTTTTTGATATTATTATATATATATAATGATAATTCAGTCACTTCCATTAATATAACAATCAAATAATCTATTAATTTAATTATCATTTTCACCTACCAATGACCAAATCAAATTGCACAAAAATTAAATTTTAAATGATATAATATGTTGACTTTAATATATATATATATATATATAATGAAATAAAGGTAATTATTTGATATATTGACGATTGAATTGGTTTTTTCATAAGCAATCTTAACTCATCTTCATATATCTTATTTTTAATTTTTTAATAACTATAGTAATTTGATTAATAAATAATTTATGTATAAATTATATTGAATATGAGTTTAATTCCTAGGATATTTTTAATTGGTTTATTTAAAAATTATATAAAATATAACAAAAATAAAAATTTAAATAAAATAAAATAATTTTTAATAAATCTTAACTGAATTACACTCATCAATTTAATAATAATAATAATAAGATAAATAATTTTCCTTTTTCTATTTATAAAATTATCAGGTATATATTGATAAAATTAACATTTACAATCTTCAAATAATTACCATTAGGTTTAATTGAAAAATAAGTGTACAAACAATATCTTTAGATATTTTAGGTGTTTAAAGTTTTTTCTTGTAAAAAATAAGTGTCTAAAGTTTTATTTTTTGTCAAAATATGTGCCTAACATTTTTAAAGTTACCATTTTAAGATCAATTTTGTCACAATCATTAAAAAATCCGTAAAAATTAGTCAACCAATCATTTTAATATTCTATATTCAATAACTAAATTGTTATTATAATAATTTTAAAGATGACATCTAATTATTGAATTTTGGTTTTATTTAAATATATTTTCTTATAATACAAAATAACTTTAGATCAATATAAGAGTAAGGTAAAGTAAATTAAATGACTTTTATTCGTATCAAAATCTATATGTAACGATGTTTGGTAACTAAATTTATATTTGTACTGTTTTAGTATATATATATATATAAATATAAATCTCAAATTAATATAGTACGAATTAGTAAAATATCAATTTTATATAAAATTAAAAATGTCTTAAACATCACTATAAATATTAAGATTATCAATATCGTACTGACAAATATATCATTTCCTTTATCATATTAACGTGTATATACATTTTGATAAATCTAGGTGTATATAAGGTAGCATCTATTCAAGGAATTTTAATCTTTTGACAATGAACGCTCATACTCCTGGTATACTCGGTGCTCGAACCCGAGATCTCAAGAGATAACAACAAATCTCTTAATCACTAAGAGTTCAAGGACTTTCAACATTTTGAAAATGAATGCTCATACCTCTGGTATACCCGATGCTCGAACTCGAGATCTCAAGAGATAACAACAAATCTCTTAGCCACCGTGAGTTCAAGGACGTTCAACCTTTTGACAATGAATGCTCATACATCTGGTATACCTGGTACTCGAATCCGACATCTCAAGAGATAACAACAAATCTCTTAACCATCGAGAGTTCAAGGACGTTCAACCCTTTAACAATGAACGCTCATACATCTAGTATACCTAGTGCTCAAACTCGAGACCTTAAAAGATAACAATAAATCTCTTAACCATCGATGTCGCTTTATTCGTACTAGTGTATATTATTAGTGGTGAAATTATTGATTTAAGTTTTATTGACATATTTAATTTTTTATGTATATAATTTAATTTTTATTTTTTAAATATAATATATTTCAGTTACATATGTAGAAATATATTTATATACAATTACAAAATTATTAACTAGATTAAAAAATAAATTTAATGATTATATGTATATAATTATAAAAAAATATATAACAAATTTTAAGTTTAAACTAAATATTAATTTTTTTCAATCATGTAATAATTATTTAACTTGTTGCAATTAGTTAGTGTTGATTTATGTTCTTGGTCCCAAGTTTAGTTACTTCTAAATCTAATTCTTATTTTTTTTATTAAAAATCTTGTACCGATCACAATTTAATCTGAATAATATTATTTTAATTGTACATTAATTATTAAATTTAGTGCAATGTTTGAGTGTTAACACATGCATAGGTTTTAGATGTCATCATTAGAATTCACTTATATCCAATGTAAAATTAAGATTTTTACATATTTTTACAACCGTTGGATGGGGAAAATCAAAAACTAAGATTAACTCATTGTTTTTTTAGTGAATATCTTGTCATTTTTTGTTGTTAATTTCAACATTTGATTTTTCTCATCCATCGATATTTTTTTTTTGGATAATTCCATTCATTACCCAAGAAGCAGAAGTCCTGCTACAAAATACAGTGTACATAAGACAACAACCATAAAATAATCAGCAAAGCTAAACAAAATCGCAGCAGAAAAAAAAAGGGAGAAAGACTCAATTAAGAAATGCCCCAACTAGTATATAGGTCGGCATTTCTCAAGTCAGCTCTGTCAACAGGCTTTTCGAATAATCGAATTTGAACGGTTTCCTTAATATCTTGTAGAACATCCTCCACCGACCTCGGACTGCCCCCAAACAATCTGTTGTTTCTCTCTTTCCAGGTACAATAGACATGACCATTCCAGGAGCTTGAGAATCATAACAAAGAGAGACTTTCCTTTGAGGCAATGGATCGCCCAAGCCAGCTCTCCATTCTAACTACCAACTATTCGAGACACATGACACAAAACGAGGATAGATCCCTAAAGGCTTCTTGCAAAACTACAACAAAAAAATAAGTGCTCTCTAGACTTTGCCTCAAGACCACACAGGACACAATTGACATCATCAATGTCTAGTCCCATTTTTTGAAGTCTTACCCGCGTAAGAAGACGATTTAACAAAGTCATCCATGTAATAACACTCTGCTTGGGAATACGCCCTGAGAACCAAACCAAGTGTTGCCAAGGGACCTTGGGCACTGCAATACGCATGCTTTCCCAGATTCGTCTCACACTAAGGTCAGAAACCAAGCCAGCAAGAATGTGAGAGATAGCAGGCCTAATTTTCAAAAGGCATTTGAAGCTCCAGCTAACATTATTGGGAATGTTCAACTGCCAAAAGTCATCGCTTTTTATTTATCACATAGGATCGCAACCAAGCCACCCAAAGAGAGCCCTCGTTAGCTAATAGTTTTCTGATTAAGTGCACAATGCATGCCTTATTCCAACCACCAATATCCTATACACCCAAACCCCCTTCTAACTTCGTTAAGCAAACTTTCCTCCAGCTAACATGAGTACCTTTCGCAGGCAAATCAGATCCCTTCCAAAAAAATCTAGAACATAGTTGTTCAATTGTTCTAATAATCTCCTTTGGTAAGATAAGGTGCCTACACCAAAAGTTTGCCATACTAAATAAAACAACCCGAACCAACTGCAGTCTACCAGCAAAACTGAGGTTCTTATTGGCCCACAAATTCAATTTAGCTTTGATCTTGTCAATGAGGCTATGACAGTCCTTCACGGATAACTTCCTAGACACTAATGGAACACCCAAGTATCTCACCGGGAGATGTTAACTTCCTAAAAAGGCTACTTTTAAAGCATTTTTCACTTAAGTTATTGTTTGTTTAAAAGCTCATTTTAGTCATTTTAGGATCATGTAGTTGCATATAGTTGCATTTGTGGTGGTTGTACTATTTTATTTCTCAATGGTGCTGTTTGAGGGAAAGGTGCAGTTTGTCTATGGTGTGTAGGGAATAGCAAGAAAAAGGATTCTTTGGGAAGTAATGCCGCGGCATCACACGTTGCTAGAGCAGATTGAAATGCCTTGGCATTTCTGGCGCAGAAAAAGACAAAAAGATATTTCTGCATAAGGACAGTTGGCACTGGACAGCTGTCTCTGCACGTGAAGGACTGCTGTAACCGCCTGCCAGAGCTGCCAATGTACCACTGCCACTTGGAGGATAAGATTCATGCACAAAATGTGATTCTAGGGGTATGAGGGGTATTTTGCACCCAACAAACTCATCATTACCCCTAGATATTTTATTTATTATATATGACACCTCATGGGAGAGAGAGAAAGAGAGGACGGTGAGCACACGCATAGAGCAGAAAAATCAGATTTTTATTTTCTCTTTTTCCTTTCTTCTTCCCTGGAATATTCCTCCATTGATAAAGCTCCAAGGAGTGGCAAGCTAGGCACCGAAAGGAGTTAGCAAGCTAGGTGGTTCGTGGTGGCCGAGAGGAGACCTCCGGTGGTGCGTCGAAGGCTTCTTCTCACTTCCCTTTTTGCTGCTATTTCTTTATATTATTTTGTGGGTTGTTGGAACAAATTTTCATGACTTTGTGTTTGGATATTTCGAACCCCACCATGAACTAACTTATTTGGTGGTGGTTGGTTGAATGGTTGTTTAAACTTTATTTTTAATGGTATATTTAAGTTTATTTTGGTTCTTTATTTGCTTTGCTTATGAATGCTTCACCATCTAGGCTTGTAAGAGGCATGGAAATGTCCATCTCTTAGATGAAGGTTAGGTATTCGGAAGAATCCTAAACTAAAAATACTTGTAAGTATTCGGAAGAAACGCAAGATAAGATCCTCATAAGCAATGGGTTATGGTATTTTCAAGGGGCTTTGAACTGGCCTAGGAATATTATAACTTAATCCCTTAGATCTCGGAAGAGACTAGGATAGGATTTCAACGACTAAAAAGGGTGTCTTCATCAATAGGGTAGGCTGTCCAACATCGTTGAGTGAGAGCAGATGCCTTGGCATCCTATTCTGTTAAGTTCTTTTGAACACCTTAGGAAAGCCCTGTCGAGTAAGTAAAGACAAGATAGCTTAGATATACTTGAGAAATAAGTTTAGCAATCTTAGACCAATCCTTAACATTCATTTCATTGGAAGCTTGTCACGTGAGGATTATTTTCTTCTTATTTTATTTATCTTTTTATTTACTGTTTTTACCAATTCTCATTGCCTTAACATTTCACCATACTCAACATTAAACATCCATCATTGCCACTGTATTTCCATTTGCTACACCATCACACCATCAATCCGCATCCACCAGCATACACATATCCATTGCCGTGACATTTGTATATATCAAGACTAACTATACTTAGATAGAATATTGCATTGCTTTGGTTAGACTTTTGTGATTTCACCCAATCCCTGTGGAGATGATACTCACTCATCATTATATTACTTGAGCGATTGTGTATACTTGCACATTATTTGCATATATTTTATAGTACTCACAACACGCGAACAAGTTTTTGACGCCGTTGCCGGGGACTGGCAGCCTGAAGTTATTTAGTTTTGCCAGAGCATTTTATTTTGTTTTGCATTTTTATTTTTGTATAGTTTACTTGATATTTTTGTTTTATTTTTCAGGTTTATTTAGTGTATGCCTAGAAGAAATTCTGAAGAGCCTTTGGAGCCAATAGAACCTGAGATTGAAAGACTCTTTAGAAGAAGAAGACGTGCTCAAAGAAATATGTATGAGATTGGAAACCAAGGCATTGGTCAAGATGACGGAAATCAGAATGCCGAGGCATTAAACAATGTTGAACCTGCTATCAGGCCTCGTGTTATTCGAGATCATTTAAATCCGATGTTGGATGATCTGAATCCTGGGATTGTGGCACCCGAAATTCAATCTGCACATTTCGAGCTGAAACCAGTCATGTTCAACATGTTGAATTCCATTGGGTAGTTTGGGGGTATGCCAACTGAAGATGCCAGGCAGCACATTCGTAATTTTCTGAAAGTTTGTGATTCTTTCCGCCAAGAAGGAGTGCATGAGGATTTTATGAAATTAAAGTTTTTTCCGTATTCATTGCGTGACCGAGCAAGGGCTTGGTTGAGTGGTGTACCAGCCGGTTCGATGGAATCATGGGCCGATCTTTGCAAGAGCTTCTTATTGAGGTACAACCCACCGAATATGAATACGCAGCTAAGGAATGAAATATCATCTTTTCGCCAGGGCGATGACGAACCCATGTATGAGTGTTGGGATCGTTACAAGAGTTTGCTTCGAAAGTGTTTAAATCATGGTTTTCATGATTGGACTCAAGTAGTCATGTTCTATAATGGAGTCAATGCACCCACGAGGATGTTACTGGATGCCTCGGAAAATGGGACATTGTTGGATAAATCACCTACGGAGGCGTTTGCTATCTTGGACAGAATTGCTAACAATGATTATCAATTTCCTTCCTCAAGACTTGGGAGTGGGAGGAGAGCACCTGGAGCATTCGAGTTAGAAGCCAAAGATTCGGTGTCCACTCAACTCTCCGCTATTACTAATATGTTGAAGAACTTACAATGTTCCACTGATGTGAAGGAAGTGAAAACAACTAGTCTGGCATGTCTGTTATGCCAAGGCAATCATCACGAGAGCGAATGCCCAACCAACCATGAGTCCATCAACTTTATTGGTAATTACAATCGAGGCAACAACAATCCTTACTCAAACACTTATAATGCTGGATGGCGTCAGCATCCTAATTTTTCATGGGGAAATCAAGGAGCCCACAATGCTAATCAACCTACTAGGCAGCAGAATCACAATGAGCCTCAAAGTTACCAAAATGCTATGCCACGGCATAATGCTAACAAAGGAGCTTCATCTTCAGCGAGCATAAGTTCCTTAGAAGCTACAATTCCAGAATTCATATCTACTACGAAGACAATGCTGCAAGACCATTCTACTTCAATTAAGAATCAATGAGCTTTACTTCATAGTCAAGGCGCCTTACTTCAAAGCCATAGCTCGTCTCTGAGAGCTTTGGAAGGTCAAGTTGGTCAGATTGCTACGGCATTGCAAGAGCGTCAGCAAGGACGTTTTCCAAGTGATACTGAAGTCACTAAAGGGCCTGGAAAAGAGCACTGCAATGTGTTAACTCTTAGGAGTGGAACGCAAATCAATCGACAAGTCAATGATAGTGGGCCACAGCATGATGATTCTAATCCCACTACTGAAGCTGAATTACAAGATGATAGAGTTTCTGAGAAGGACAAGGAGGAGGATTCTGCCAAGGTACCAGATTCTGATGCCAAGGCAAAAGAAAATTGTATGCCTACAGCTAAGGAAGCTAGACCTCCCCCACCCTTCTCGCAAAGATTGAAGAAGCACAATGATGAAGTTCAGTTCAAGAAGTTCGTAGACATTCTTGATCAGTTCCATATCAATATACCTCTCTTGGAAGCTGTTGAACAGATGCCGATGTATGCCAAATTTCTGAAGGACATCTGTACCAAGAAGAGGAAAGTAGAGACTGTTGCCACGGCAACAGAATTTTGTTCTTCATTGAGTAAGTTGCTGCCAAAGAGAAATGATCCGGGCAGCTTCATTATTCCTTGTTCAATTAGAGCTAATTTCGTTGGAAAGGCTTTATGTGATCTTGGTTCAAGTGTCAACTTAATGCCGAAATCGATATTCTTGAAGCTTGGCATAGGAGATGCAAGACCCACCTCAGTTATTTTACAACTGGCCGACAAATCCCATGTTAAATCTGAAGGGAGAGTCGAGGATGTCATAGTAAGGGTGGACAAGTTTGTGTTTCCAGTCGACTTCTTAATTCTGGACTGCGAAGTTGATGCCAAGGCACCAATCATTCTGGGAAGACCTTTCCTAGCCACTGGACGTATCTTGATAAACTGTGAAAAAGGTGAACTCACCATGAGAGTGGCTGATCAGTGTGTAACTGTCAATGTTTTTAGAACGCTCAAATATGTTGATGACACTGAAGAATGCCAAGGCATTTCTGAATTGAACTCAGTGATTGAAGAAGAGACTGAACATCTTTTCCAGAACAACTTCATTCAGCTAGCAGAAAATGAATATTGGGTGGATGATGAAAGCTTAGTGGAGTCCGACGACTTTCCAATTTTGGAGGAGCAATCTAGCTTAGTACAAGTTAGATCAGGTATGAATTTTGAACCTCTGAATTTTGATGAATTCATTTCTCCTAAGCCTTCATTATTGCATGCACCCAATCTAGAGCTTAAGACTTTGCCAGGGCATCTTAAATATGTTTACTTAGGTAGCGATGAAACTTTACCGGTGATTATTTCTGCTAACCTTACTGCTAACCAA